GCATTGTTTATTTATCAAAAGATTGAAAATCGGTCAGTCAATAATGCTAACTAATTTATCGTGAAGCATTTCTTCCCCCAAATGTTCTTTAGAAGGCTTGGCTAGTTTTAAACAAGCAACAAAGGTTAATAAAGCAGGATTTAATGAATTCATCATATTTCGGTAGAACAGGAGCACCTCATTCTTCACTAATGTGCCTCCAAAGCCTCAGGATGGTCGGGGATGGGTGCCTTGCGCTGCGGGTTGGCCACCCCTCCGCACACCTCTTGAAATGCTTCCATATGACCGGCGTCTTACATAGCCTCTCCTGAGGAAGTCCTACTCACTGCCTTCACGTGGCGGAGGTGTTTCTCACCAAAGTGAGAGGGCGAAAGCGGATGCCTGGCGCTCTCCACCGGGTTGACTGTCCATTGGATGACAGTCTAGGGGAGATGGCTAAACCCTGACTCCAAACCTGCAACGATTGGCGTATGAAGCTCACTGAAGCTCACCGGCAGACGTATGGACAAAGGGCTTGTTGGATGTCCTGGATGTCTGGCCCCATTCAAAAAGGCGTATGAACCGGACTCCGGTCACCGGCTGCCAATGGATAGTGGACTCCTTACTCCACTCCTACTGCCTTGTAGGTCACACTTGGCTGTGTAAAGGCTAGAGCTGCACTCTCAAACAAAAGGCCGAGCGATGCTGGGGACATCACTCGTACCCAATTCCCATGAAACTTCATGAACTCTCTTACAAATTGCCGCGCATGGGCAGCGATGATTCGAGACGTTCATGAAGCCGGCTCATCCTCCCGTAGGAGATAGCCGAAGTAAAGTAAAGTAAGTAAGTAGTCGTTGAGACTATTGACTTCATATGTAGGGAGGCTGAAGATATACCCATTCCAACATCGGAATTGTGGAAATTGTTGCTTTTATGTACTAAAAATTTCCAATTCCAATTCGACGGACGTCTATTCAGTCAAGTTGGTGGTGTTGCAATAGAAAGCCCCTTAGGACACTTTTTTGCAGACTTATTATTTTCAGGCTTAGAAGTCAGTACCTTACAGCAAAATATACAAGAAACGGATCTATACGCTGACGACATTTTATTGTCTGTGGAAGCAGATCAAAAACTGAAGACATGTTGATAAAATTCAGCCAACGCCACCCAAATCTCAATTTCACAATAGAACATAAGAAAAACGATACTGTTAAATTCCTAGACGTTTTCCTAGCGAAAATGACTGATGGCACAATCGAAAGATCTAAATTGAGAAAGTCTTTATGGACAGGATATTGTATGCTTCTCAAGAGTTTTGTTCCAATCCAGTATATAACAATTTAGTCAGAACACCATTCAACAGAGCACGGAAAATTTGTTCTGACAGTACGATTGAGCATGAAATAAAAGCTCTGAAGGATATTTTATCTAAGAATGGATATCCTGAGAAGTTAATTAATAAATACTCTAAAGAAATTAGCCCCTGTGAAACTTTCCAAACAGATTCGAAGAAATCTGTCTACATCAGTTTGCCATTCAAAGGAGTCGATGTACAGGAAGTAGTCAAACGAAGACTCGATAAGGCTATCAAGAGGACTTATTATGCTGCAAAGCCTGTTTTCCTTAATACCAGTAAGTGGGTGCTTCAACAATCTAGGAAAGACCAGTCACCAATCATCAACACTTCAAACTGCGTATATCAATTTGAGTAAGTTTGTGGAAGCGAATACATAGGTCGTACGGAAAGGCTATTGTCTACTCGCATGATGGAGCATTTCCCAAAATGGTTGAAAACAGCTGAATGCGAAGTGCCAAAAACCTTAATAAAAAAACATCTTGTGAACTGCGGATATGATATCGACGCTGTCAAGCCATTCACTATTGTCAGCAGACAAAGAAACAGGAAGATGGTTCCAGTTACAGAGGCCAGGTATCTGTGTACAAAAGGAGATGGTCGTGACTCCGAATCTACCATGGTAATACGTTTTACTTATTATTCTACCTCTTATTATTATTATCATTATTATTATTCTTGATTCATTTAAAAATATCCTTTATCAGTGGGATTATCTTAGCTCACTTCAACACTATTATTATAATAGTTATAATAACTATTAATATCGATATTACTCTGTTTGCAATTCTGGTTATATCCTCTAATGACTAATTGCTTATCTAAGTGATGCAATTGAAGCGTAATGCATTTTATCTTAATTTTTATCTGTCACCCCTTATCTTTTTGAACATGACTTGGAAAACATTCGCACGTGTCTTTCTGCATGACTAATTCAATGTAGTTTGTTTACTTATCAGTCTTATGTCTCCCAATATAATTTCGAAAGTATATCTATCCGTGCATGCAGAGAATTCATCTAACAAGTTCTACTGAAATTCGATGAATTCATTAAATCCTGCTTTATTAACCTTTGTTGATTGATTTAAATTCGTATCGAGAATTAGGTGTTTTCACTGCTTGGCTAGTTGGTTTCTGTTTTTATGAGAATAATATTTCGTTGAAAAAGAATTAGTTATCAAGGCATAATCAGCATCACATGATCTCCGGCCGACGAACTGTCAGATTTCTCTAAGCTTATAATAAGCTCCATAAAGATGGAAAATTTTGGCATAAAGCTAGCGATCTCACCTCACATAAAAAATGAAATCGCTGCTACCGAAACTTCACAACTCAAGCTTGAAGCCTTATACTCCACTTGGGACGCAGAGGAACAAAATGAATAGGTAGAAACTGTCAATGTGAGCATGGAAGCCAACTGAAATTTTCATGACGATTAGTGTGTTTTATAGATTCGTTTTGTCAGCTTTCTAAACACCATATTTTGACATATCATTGCTTCTTACGGTTATCGAAACGGCCGCGTAAACAACATATTATTACGTTTATTTAAATCAGTATAGTAATACGACGATAAATTTAGTGTCTTCTGAAAACTTGATATTTTGACTGTTTCCTAATTCATTTGTAACACAGAATAGAACGTAAACCAACTGAGTTGCTTATGCATATTTTGATGAATTAAACAGTTACTGGTATTCATATTGTAGCGCCCCTTATATATGGTCTGAATGTACGCTTATAAAACTAATTCATTTTTTCTTATTACAGTCTGATTTCATACTGTATTTTTGGTACAAGTGTGGAATTTTCAGCATGGATATCGGTAGCCCAAATTATGCAGGCCGACCGTAGATATCAGATGGGCATCGGTAGGGGATCAAACCTCGGACCATATACGCATACTATACGTTTACAGAAAGAAATTTTACTTTTAGAATATTTTCCATTGTATTGTTGAATATTGCTTTCGTTTGTTACATGTATATTTTGCACGGTCATGCACTTTTTTGTTCACCTCGCAGTTTTTGAAATTTGATTTGGTTAACAAAACATCTTTCAAAGTTTTCAATAATGCTCCTTAATACAAGGTTGGTCGTCTTTAGACGCGAAAACGTGAATGTACTATACTATTATAATCGAAATCATGTTTGTTACACTATTATATTTTATAGGGAAGGGAATAAAGCTGTGATTCAACGTTTAGGCAGTGAACAACACAACCAAGGTAGTAGAAATGCTATATAGCAAACAAACCTTTCTCACTTACAAACCAAGGCACATAGACGGGAATAGTGTATGAACTTTCGCCTATTCAAAGAAACAGTATTTACTTATTTCAAATTTAGCTGTATGACTTTTGATTTTCTACCCTTTGTAGTATTCGTTTACGTTCCCAGTGGAAGAAAAGAGCTTCAAGCTAGATTCTTGAAGTTCTGGTAGCGGTGTTTATTTTTAGAGGATGGGTTTGTTAGCCTTATGCCCAACCTTACCTTTTTACTAGATTTCTTATTGCTGGCTTAGCAAGGTAAAGGAGTGCGTCGGTCGGTGATCGTACCACAGACCATGTGCATGGTCAGCGAGTCTCCTAACAGCTTTAGATATAAATCCTAAATGATTGATTATGTTTTTTATTCGATTTCAGAAGTCAGTACTATCAAAGTATACATCGAATTGAAGTGGCTACATTCTTCTCTCAGAATACTGGGAGCTTATCTTGTATCCCGAGGTCTTTCGGAGGTGTTATTCTCAATAGGCTGTAGACTTCTATCAACATCCGCCACTCCCCGCTCCACTTTGCCCTCCAGAACGGATAATACACAAGGAATTGCACTTAAACGAATCAAACAAGAAGCTATTTTGATCAGCAAATATGCAAAAAGAAATAGATATGGATTAAACGTGGGGAGTAGTGCAGCTAGCCGAAGCAAAAATGCAATGTTGAATGTGATGCCCTATATTCCCATTGGACGGAACCCAAGGAATGAACACTAATAAAAGCAATCCTATCTCTCACAGTTCATGCAGTCATTTCATCCTTTACAGTGGCAAAAGAAAAAAAATACCTAACTTTATCTTTAAATATTTTATTAAAAGAAATCTCCAGCATTTAGGATGCGTATATAAGTGCACTTAGAAAATATTTTAAAATTAAAGGGGTCCAGTATATATATATATATATATATATATATAATCAATGAAGTAAATTTCAGTGCAATGAACAAGAAAATGTAAAACTTTGAATTTGAATTCTCCAATTCTGCTAATTCATGGTATTCCTCATTGACATCAGAGGAGAAATTCCTAGGTCGTTGTTTCCTCTTTGCATGCAACATTCATATAAGACTCCGATCTAATGTACCCGCTTTAGATACTTTTCATTTAATGTAAGCCAAGTAGGTTATGAGAAAAATAAAGAAAGTTCGTGAGCTTATTGTGTTACACAGATTTATGAAGACCTCCATATGTGCACATAGAATAAGTTGACAGGATCAAGTTTAAAAAAGACAGAATGGATAAGTGCTGCTGAAATCAATGTAAACACAAATATGTAGTTCATACATAGTCAACGCTCAAAATCGAACCAAAAACAAAACGAAAACACAATGAAGGGAAACAATATCAATGGAATAATTAAGAACAGCTGTCTTCTCCTACGTCCTCCTCAAAATTCAATCATATCTTTCTGCAGAAGACTTGTTTTTTCTGGTGTTAGTGAATTTGGATGAGATCTACAAGTTTGACTTAATAGACAATGATTTGAACTTCTGCGAAGTGGTTCTGAACATTCTTCAGATAACTGTACGTCTGTACCTGGAGATATAAGAAAATGAAATAGTGTGATAAAATGATTATAGGCTGGATAGTTATGATTTCTTGAATATTGTCACATTAAACAAACCTGTTTAATAAGATCATTATCGAAAGTTAATACTATCCTAATCAGTCTGGTAATCATTGCTAGATTAATAAATAGTTATTAGAACTGAAATACATTTAGTCAGCATCAGAGTGCATAAAATCTGCATAACTCTGACTCCACTCTCAGAATGACAGTAATTTTTAATCCTTTTTTTAATAGCTTACGTTCCCGATGGAACCTGGGGCTTAAAGCTAGAGACTTGAACTTTCTGTAGCAGTGGCGTTTATTTTTACAAGATGTGGTTGCTACCCTGATGCCCAAACTTCCCTCTTCAGCAGCCTAATTACTGCTTTGGTGAGATAAAAGAGTGCTTCGGCCGAGAACCGAGCCCCGGACCACATGCAAGGTTGGCTAGCATGCTACCTCTGTGCCACCTTATAGGTAACAGATAAACTCTCAGACAAGACTAACTGTAATGTCTAACATATGAAATGTCTTCAGGCAATTCACCAGAGTCTATTATGTGACCGTCTCCTTTCTTAACTTCATTGTTTTGCTTACTATTTCAGTTTGGGAGTGAATTCTCAGATAGTTCATGATTTCGTAATGTAAACGTTTCATAGTGGAAAGAATTTACTTCCCTTTTGCGTACGCTAATCTGTTAGGAGTGTTCATATCTGTAGTATGTCGTCGTTTTCTGTTGAAAATATTTCATTGTGATACCCTTTGTGTACCTACACATGATATGATGGTGTGAAGACTAGTTCATTTCACGTTTACCTTGGAGTAATTTGATGCATTTCAAGTTATATATCGTCTCGAAGTGACATCATTTAGAGAACGAATTAAATCCGGAAGAAACTGGGTAGTATTTTAGTCCTGATTTAGGATTAATTTGTCAGTGAGCACTCACAGAACCTCTAAGGAACGAATCCAAGAAAATCCACCTAAGTGATAAGCCGGCCACACTGAAGCACAGACACCGCAGTCAAATGACCTTCAACCAACCAATCAAATCACTCAGTAGTACAAGTGAATGGTCTTCATAATCTTCATTGCAAATTTCACCCATACTCAGGATTAACATTAGGTTAGGATGAAACTTTCAAGAAAGATTATGAGAATCACGTACTCGTAATACTGAGAGATCTGATTGATCGGTTCAAAATCATTTGACTGCGGCGCCTATTCTTTACTTTTGCCGGTTAGTCTGCTGAACGTTCAGTTACTGGACTGGAATCCTATGAAGGATGAATTCTAACTTCTGTGAATTCGTGATATAGCTTAACAACCATCCAATGTCACTAGCCAGCTTAGTCTTCATACTTAACTCGGTGGACTGTAGCTATCACTGTCTTTTTAGACCTCCAGACAGTCGTTCCTGTAATCAGTCAATAATGGGCGAAGGATGAATTCTCGAATATTAGTTACAAGTTATCATTGTCCAAAAAACTCGACTGACTCCCAGTTCAGTAATTTCTGGTTTTTATTAGTCCTCTAATTGGTGTCAGTTACTGATAAAACCTACTTGGGGACAAATTTTCCTTTATATATGTTGTTTTCCAATCTATCAAGCAAATTTAACTGAAAATCGCTCCAACCAATCGAAAACTGAATCAATTTATTCTCACCTACTTAAATGTTATGAGTAGTAAAAAGCGGTATGCAGCAATTTACTGCTGGTAATTGGCTAAATTGAGCGTCAATGGCTTGGTGGTAGAATGCTCGACAACACCCGCCTCATGTGGTCTGTGGTTCCAACTCCAGTCGACGCACTCCTTCACCTCGTTAACCCAGTAGGTGGTAAGTCCGATAAAAAGGAACGGTTGAACATGAGGCTACCAACCACGTCCCGTTAAAATATACATTACTGCTACTGAAATTTCAAAGCTCATGCTTTAAGCCCTACGTTCCACTCAGGTAGTAAAAGAAATAAAGTAAGTAATTAGGTAATCAGCTAAATTGTCTACTTAACTACTGATTGGAACAACTGATTGTCTTCCATGGAACAACATTAGCTCATAAAACGGGATATGATGAAAACTGATAATTGTAAAAAGCTGTTTTAACTAAAGTATGTTTCCATTAGCAAGCAGAATTAAATTAAGATGGGATATGTTGCACATAAACATTTTTCTGGTCCTTATCAGGAGGGGTAAACTTAATAGTTTATTTATCTAACATTTGAGGGGCCAAATTTTCCACTGAAGTTATAAAAAGTCATTATATGCACTAAACCTGAACTAAGTAGTTGACCATATAATCGGAAGTTTAATCAGGTAAATTTCAAATGTCACATGAATGCCCCGCATTTCAAAAATGTCACCAAGTAGTATTATTCGACTTCGAATCTAGATCTAAGCAGTAGTCTTAAATGATGGGTTATGATATGAATGAAAGTGTATAGTGTGAACTATGAGATCTATACCTACTGCATAGAATATAATTACTTATAAGAAACTCAACTGTTTTAGTGAGAGATTTTCAGAAAAACAGTTACCGCAGGATGGTAACTGTCTTCTAATCGCATTTCTCGTGGCAGCAAGTTTTAATAGCCATGTTGGAAAAGGATATCCTTTAAAAAATTTTAAACCGGTTTAGAAGTCAGTTAGTTAGTTTTAATACCTACAATCTATATTATCCCTAAGCAAGATGTTTGCATTAAATTACCATACAATGGGGACGTAGATAGTAGGTCTTTAAGACAGAAACTAAACTTAGTCATCTGGAGAACCTATCATGCTTATACTTATTGAATAAACCAGTCAAAAATACGCTCCACTGCAAACCTCAAAAGTGCATAAATGTCGCTTCCCACACTGTTCACCAATTCACGTGTGTGTCTGCGTGTGTGTGGAGACACATTCATAGGGAGGAGTAATCTCACTTCCCATGTGAGGGTGGGAGAACATATTCTGAAGTGATTAGAAAAACAAATGAACTTTGGACAATCAACAGTCACAGGTGGTAGACTTCTAACTTCGTCTATAGCTAAGCATTTAATTGTGATATGAACCACGACGAGATTGGTGTTAAAAAAGCTCTATAAGGTTACTTTAAAGGGGGCTAAGAGCGCTTATTGAAACACGCTGAGGCGATGGCTATTCATAAACTTAAGCCCCACACCCCCTGTGTGTACAAAGGCAATTTAATATTACTCCTAACCTGCATTGGTATTCCTTATCTGATATAAGATAACCAAAACTGGTGTTGTTAATTATTCTTAAATCCTTCTTGTCACTTTGTGTATTTTAATTGGCCCTTATTTTTCAAATAAATTGACTTGACAAGTAAATGTGTGTATGTGTGATCAGATCGTTGTTTGAAATGTATTGCGTACATACATCGCATTTTTCAGATAATCTCCGTCTTCTGATAACAACAATTAAATTTATGTGATAGGGACTTATTCTTTTAACTATCATGGGCTTCCCACTAATAAAACAATCATTTTTTGTCTTAAATTCATGGTACGGAGTACGATCGATAGGTTTTTTTCACATGTTATCCGTAACACTGAATGTGTGTTAAACGAAAACTGTCGGCATTTGTGTATGCACCACTAGTCTTCCGTCATTACTCTAATGTTTACACTGTCGGATAGACTCAGTCTGTCAAACACCTTGAATTTTCGGTCATAAAAGATTATTCAAGTGTATAATAATATAAATAATTTTTCCTTCACGTTCCCAGTGGAACATAGGGCTCCAAGCTAGTGGATTGAAGTTTCTGTAGCAGTGGTGATTACTTTTACAGGATGGGGTTGCTAGCCTCATGCCCAACCTTTCCTCTTTACCAGCATTATTTCTGGCTCAGTGAGGTAAAGGAGTGCGCCGGCTGGGGATCGAACCCCTGACCATATGTTGGGTGGGCGAGCGAGCTAACCACTATACCACCGACGCGCTTAACAAAAATTCAAGTGTATAATATGATACAATTACGAATCCGTGGACTTCGTAAGTAATCAGCGTTTTAATGAAAAAGAAATAATAAAATGGCTAACTGTCGAAATTCTAAGCTCCTTTCTCAAGGAGTATTTGTAAGAACACTGGGTTACACAAGTTGGAGAATACAAAAAGGATTACCATTTAAAATTTTCAAAAATGCCGATACGTTTGTATGCTTAAGAAAGTATACTATTCATAACTTTTTGACCCCACTGAAAGTGACCAAGTTTCAGGGTGAATTTCTATGTCATTCTGTCTTAGACACAAGTGTATATTAGTTCAGACTAACCAGATAATAGTTAAAGTAAATGATTTTATATTTATTCAGTTATTTCCTTGCTCATTTTCAGATGATATAAATATTCAAGTGTTGGTTTGTAGGGATTTGATTGATTAGTTACAGGATTTCATCGTGAGCTGACATTGGTTAGAGAACCACTGGAAAACCTGGAAGTTTCTATAGTTTGGTTTGTAAGGATTAGTTATGTTTTACGGGTTGATCACGGATTGATATCAGTTAGAGAACCATTGAAAACCAGGGAGTACTGGACAGCTGCCGATGATTCCCAAAACTAGGATGAAACAGCAGCTGTCCAGTACTCCCTGGTTTTCAATGGTTCTCTAACTGATATCAATCCGTGATCAACCCGTAAAACCTGGAAGTACTAGATAGATGTTTCGTCCTAGTTTGGGAGTCTTCATCAGTACGTGAATTGACAGAAGTAAGAATTTATAGGCCAGTGGATCGAGTCTCTGTGGCTTGATGGTCTTATGAGCTAACTAGCCTTGTAACCAGAAGGTCCTGGGTTCGAAACGCGGTGGGTGCGGACCGATGAACTGTCCCAAACTAGGACTAAACAGCTGTCCAGTGCTTCCAGGTCTTCCAATGGTTCCTCAACCAATGTCAGCTCACCATGAAACCCTGTAACAGATGGTATAAAGCCCAAAGAGTGTGAGAATTTCAGCTACTCAATAAAGATGCAGCATCGGTTAAGAAGGTTCTA